TTTGAAGGCAGAACTGAGTACTTCTCTGCCTTTATTTTCTTTCTGAATTGATTCAAGCAGTTTACTTTTTTTGTGCTCTCTGATCATAAACAATTAACATTTTTAAACAGTGGAAAAAAATGAGTTTCAAGAAAAGTTCTAATGCAATTTCAAGAAATTCGCAACGATGGGAAAACTCTTTGATTCGCTTCGAGAAAAACAAAAATAGACGGCAAGAAATAAAACAGGTTGATAAAAATTTGAACGCATTTTGCAGAATACCTAAGAAGACTGTTATAATAGGTAGATATAACTCATTGGCAAACGTCGAAAAAAGTAAAAAAGCAAGATTTAAAATTATTGCCGACGTATTGCTGGATTTATGGACAAAATTAAACTTTCCCAGTATAGCTAAAACTTCAATTGAAAGAAAAGTAGAAAATCTCTTAAAAAATTATTCGAAGTTTTTAAAGCGACCTAATGGAAAAGTTTTTGTAGTTTTTGGACAATTGTTTGATATAACCAATCCAAATGGCATTTGGCTGAGTGTTGAGGACAAAAAGTTGTATGCACTTCAACAAAATTCCAATGGAGATGTTGGATACACCACTGAAAAGAAAACAAATATTCATCCATCAAAAATTTCTTTACTTAAACCAGTCACCGTACAAAAGAAAAGTGTTATAAATGCAAGTGAATCTGATACAACAATATCGTCCCTGGAAGGAGATAATGAATTGTATCACCCTGAAACACCTACAAAAAGACTTAGAAAAGTCAAGTGTCAAGCAAAGATCGCAGTAGACATGATAGAGAAAACAAGTTTGAGTAGCAAAAAAACAACTAAAGTATGTGAAATATTAGTGAAATCAGGCATTGATATTCCTGCACCCTCACAATCTGCCGTATATAAAGCCTCAATGAAATCAGCCGAGCGATTGGAAGCAAAATATATGACAACGTTACAAAAAGAGAATTGGTGTCTTCATTTTGACGGCAAAAAATTTGGAAAAAAGGAAGCGCAGGTAGTGGTATTGTCAAATGAAACTAAAGAAGTGCGAGTAGCGGTAATTGTGCTTGAGAATGGGAAAAGTGTCACAATATTTGAAGGTAAGAAATAAAAATTAAGATTTTATAATATAAATATAATATAAATTTATATATAAAAATATACATTTCTAACTCTACTTACATTTACGGGAATAAAGGAAATTCTAGACCGATTTTATTTGTGGAACTCAATTAAAATGATTGTATGTGATACAACAAATGTGAATACCGGGAAAAAAAATGGAATTGTTCATTATCTACAATCATGCTTTGAAGAAAAATGTTTGACACCGCCACAATATGTTGGTTGCCAACACCATGTTTTGGATTTAATTCTGAAGCATGTAATGAATGAATTACTTGTCGCAAAAGCAATATCACCACATATTCCCTACGAAATATTTTCAGATTTAATAACTGATTTTCAAAATCTGAAACAAAACTTCAAACAAAGCGGCGAAAAAATGAAAATTCCTAATATCAAATGGCGCGATGACATGCAGTATTTGTATGAACTTGGACAATACTTTAAGTATTATCAAAAACATAACGTTTTTCCATACATTAACTTTCGAGTTTTACCATCGCTCAGTAACGCCCGTTGGAACTCCAGAGCTATTCTTGCATTGCTCACATTTATACTCCTTCCCAATCACAGAGCAAAACTTTTACAAGTTTGTCAATTTATATGCAGTGCTTGGTACGAAGTATGGTTTTCCGATCAACGTTTTCGCAACAATAATTTTGAATGCTTGGAAGAATCTGTGAAGCCGTTCAAAACTGCCCATCAATGTTTAAAAAAACACTGGGTGAAGGAAGATTCAGCCATTCCAAATTTAAAACGGTCTAATATATGTGCCGAACGAGCCATTAAAGAAGTGAAAGATTTATATTCATTTTGTAAAAATGAAAGAACCTTAAATTTGAAATTTATTTCTTCTAATGTCAAATTAAATAACTAATAAATTAAATAATTAATAAGTATAACAAAACAAATGCAAACGAAAACAAATAGCAAAGCGGTCAACACCAATACATTTATGGCCAATGTATTTGTACATGTTTGAGTGTATATGCGCATATAAATTTTAAAATCGTTTGGTGCGTGTACTTTTTTGAATAAAAAAAAAACTAAAAACGCAGTTATCATTTTTTTAATGTTTCTCATCGTGTACGGGCATGTAAAACATAGGTTATAAAAATAGAATACCCCTAATGAGTACTTTATTCATTAGCACTGATGTGTTTATAAAAACGAAAATAAGCAGTTTGGTAGTTTCTAGAGCAGAGCAGATATATTTTTCATTAATCAAAGTTTTCAATTAGTAAGAAGAGGTAAAATATTACACCAACAAGGGGAAAGTTCTCAGTTTTATCCCATCGCCTGAACAAAAATGAGTATTTTAATAAGCACTTTTGTAATTAGTGATAATGATAAAATTAGCACTTATTTGATGCTCAGCTGTCTTGCAGGGCAGCCATTGACAATATGCTTATTTGAAAATTAATACATGAAATATTGTGCATGTATAGGATTTTTTTGTCATTAACCCATTGGCAACGACTGGTGTAAAAGTACCCACAAATGTTGTTTATACAGCAAACGGTTGACAAACGGGCTCGGTTATCTGCATAAACCGTCTTTATTTGCATTAAATCATGCATTATCCTCTTTCAAATGTGAATAAGCGGCTGAACAAATACATACAAATTTCGTGCATTTCTTTGAGCGTCGAGATATAATTTTGTGTACATATTTCATAAAAGCTATGGAGGTATCCACTGTAAGAGTGGTATATTTGAGCTTTAAGCTAAGTAATACTTCTTTTACACTCTAATCGATGGAACCATTTTCCAAAGTCAGCCTACCATTATTTACCCAAAGTTATGGTCGGAACACGGTATGACTTTTGTAGGAACTGCATCCTATCATAATCGCTTACGCTTCATGCCTGATGTGCTTGGAATTTTGTTTTTCAGAATGCGTTTGAAATATACGTTAACATATCATCAGGAACGTTCTAAAGAATAAGTAAACAAAAAAGTTTATTCCAAATGTTCAAAATGAATAAAGAAATGCAGCCTATAAGAAAATATTAAAATTGGATTTCATTTGGGTTAACGAAAGCGGCAACTGTGAAAAAATATCCACCAATACATTCAAACAAATTGTCAAATAAGCATATTTACATGTTTTGTTTTGTCTATCTGGATTACTGTATACTGTGCATAGAATGAAGTGCCATATCATAACAGGGGCGGTTCAGAGAATTAAACAAACAAATATAAAATTTTACGGTCTCATTTTTCCTTCAAACCGCAAATGAATTTTTGTTCAAAATTAAATTTTGATGCATAAACGCTCTTAGACTGTCTTTGCACCTGTGCGGAGTTGACTTGACAACTTGAAGAAAGCATGGACGGGCCATAATTCGAAATTTTTTACAGCGAATATGATGTGTATTTACTGCTATCACCGCTAAAAGTGCATATAAATTCTCGACATACTCCCTAAAGTCCAAACATATACCACAAAAGAAAATTAAATGACCAATTTCTCATTAGCGGGGCGCTTCGGAATCGAAGCATTAAACTTTGCGCCTATTTTCTTATTCTGAATCGGCATTTCGGCGAAAATTTGCTTTCGTTTTCTAAATATTTACTCTCTGTCAGATTTTTGTTCATCTAGACTCTAGGTCCTAGACTATTTCAGCTTCAAGAAGTAAGTTTTGAAAAAAAAATCCTAAATTTTTTGCGGTTATGGCTCGATATGTCGAAGCTCTTCGTTTTTTCGATATACGAAAAATTGGAAAATAGGAGGTGTTTTTCCTAACTAATGGCGTTTTCTTTTCTACCGAAATATGTTGCATTCTCAGTGCCCTCTACGCACAAATTCTAAGGAGAGGGCATTGAAAAGGCAACAGTTTTTGTAGAAAAGAAATCGCCATAAGACAAAACTTATTTGCACATGCTGCACAAGCTGTGGCATATGATAGTTGACCGAATCCAATAAAGCACGCTATTCGTTTCTGTTCTGGGCTTGTTGACGCCAACTGGAAATGCCAACTGATGCCAAGTCTTTTGTAACTGGTACCTTTATCCTCTGCCACCACAGCGGCTGCAGTGTTTCTCATAGATATACAAATATTGTATTTTTTGTTAATTTTTCATGTGAATTATTTTTCAATCAGAATTTTGAAAAGTAAAAATGTCAGTTTGAGTACATTCTCTTATCGGATCTCTCTTTCTTTTTTGAATATATCTACACTCTGATGTTGGGGAATGTACTTTGAATTCATGATTCAATAATTAAAGGTTTGCTCAATATTGACATTAGAGTTTTGATACTCCCTTAGCTCCCTTACAAAGTTTTGCACATACACACGAACCCACACACAATGCTTTGCTAAGGGAGCCGATTTTGTCAAGAGGGAGCGAGAAAACTGCTTTTTGAGCAAACCTTTTATTATTGAATCATGCTTTGAATTTACTTGCAATATAGAAGTACTACATATATGGTAAAACCATATATGTAATACTCCTATATTGGCAGTAAGAGCTAGTACCGTTCGAAAACACTACAGTACAGATATATCAATAAACACGTACGATAGAAAAGGAACACATTCTTCCACGCAAAAATCTGAAATGTGCTAGTCTTCCACGCGATTAGTGAAATGTGCTAGTCTTCCACGCGAGAATCTGAAATGTGCTACTTTTCGACGCGAATAATGAAATGTGCTAGTCTTCGGCGCGAATAGTGAAACGTGCTAGTCTTCCACGGTAATTTGAGATGTGCTACTCTTCGTTGGGAGCGACGATATGTAGTACTTCTATATTGCAAGTAAATTCAAAGCATGATTCAATAATAAAAGGTTTGCTCAAAAAGCAGTTTTCTCGCTCCCTCTTGACAAAATCGGCTCCCTTAGCAAAGCATTGTGTGTGGGTTCGTGTGTATGTGCAAAACTTTGTAAGGGAGCTAAGGGAGTATCAAAACTCTAATGTCAATATTGAGCAAACCTTTAATTATTGAATCATGAATTCAAAGTACATTCCCCAACATCAGAGTGTAGATATATTCAAAAAAGAAAGAGAGATCCGATAAGAGAATGTACTCAAACTGACATTTTTACTTTTCAAAATTCTGATTGAAAAATAATTCACATGAAAAATTAACAAAAAATACAATATTTGTATATCTATGAGAAACACTGCAGCCGCTGTGGTGGCAGAGGATAAAGGTACCAGTTACAAAAGACTTGGCATCAGTTGGCATTTCCAGTTGGCGTCAACAAGCCCAGAACAGAAACGAATAGCGTGCTTTATTGGATTCGGTCAACTATCATATGCCACAGCTTGTGCAGCATGTGCAAATAAGTTTTGTCTTATGGCGATTTCTTTTCTACAAAAACTGTTGCCTTTTCAATGCCCTCTCCTTAGAATTTGTGCGTAGAGGGCACTGAGAATGCAACATATTTCGGTAGAAAAGAAAACGCCATTAGTTAGGAAAAACACCTCCTATTTTCCAATTTTTCGTATATCGAAAAAACGAAGAGCTTCGACATATCGAGCCATAACCGCAAAAAATTTAGGATTTTTTTTTCAAAACTTACTTCTTGAAGCTNGCGATTTCTTTTCTACAAAAACTGTTGCCTTTTCAATGCCCTCTCCTTAGAATTTGTGCGTAGAGGGCACTGAGAATGCAACATATTTCGGTAGAAAAGAAAACGCCATTAGTTAGGAAAAACACCTCCTATTTTCCAATTTTTCGTATATCGAAAAAACGAAGAGCTTCGACATATCGAGCCATAACCGCAAAAAATTTAGGATTTTTTTTTCAAAACTTACTTCTTGAAGCTGAAATAGTCTAGGACCTAGAGTCTAGATGAACAAAAATCTGACAGAGAGTAAATATTTAGAAAACGAAAGCAAATTTTCGCCGAAATGCCGATTCAGAATAAGAAAATAGGCGCAAAGTTTAATGCTTCGATTCCGAAGCGCCCCGCTAATGAGAAATTGGTCATTTAATTTTCTTTTGTGGTATATGTTTGGACTTTAGGGAGTATGTCGAGAATTTATATGCACTTTTAGCGGTGATAGCAGTAAATACACATCATATTCGCTGTAAAAAATTTCGAATTATGGCCCGTCCATGCTTTCTTCAAGTTGTCAAGTCAACTCCGCACAGGTGCAAAGACAGTCTAAGAGCGTTTATGCATCAAAATTTAATTTTGAACAAAAATTCATTTGCGGTTTGAAGGAAAAATGAGACCGTAAAATTTTATATTTGTTTGTTTAATTCTCTGAACCGCCCCTGTTATGATATGGCACTTCATTCTATGCACAGTATACAGTAATCCAGATAGACAAAACAAAACATGTAAATATGCTTATTTGACAATTTGTTTGAATGTATTGGTGGATATTTTTTCACAGTTGCCGCTTTCGTTAACCCAAATGAAATCCAATTTTAATATTTTCTTATAGGCTGCATTTCTTTATTCATTTTGAACATTTGGAATAAACTTTTTTGTTTACTTATTCTTTAGAACGTTCCTGATGATATGTCAACGTATATTTCAAACGCATTCTGAAAAACAAAATTCCAAGCACATCAGGCATGAAGCGTAAGCGATTATGATAGGATGCAGTTCCTACAAAAGTCATACCGTGTTCCGACCATAACTTTGGGTAAATAATGGTAGGCTGACTTTGGAAAATGGTTCCATCGATTAGAGTGTAAAAGAAGTATTAC